GGAACGTCGATAGTAATAATATTATGTTGTACATGCATAATGGAGTTACAATGTTGAAAATTATTCACAGTAGGTAGTAACAATATTAACCACTCATCGTTATATTATTATATATTAATGTTAATAGATACGCCAAAAAGGGATGTATACGCAGTCACCATTCTAAAATATATAATGGTTATTTGAGAGGGATATTTTCAGCATTGAAACATAATATAATATACATATTTTATAATAACATGACAAAATATCGGGCGATGAAAATTAATTTAACACAGCCCAGCACTTTTATAAAACACCGCAAATTAATTGAAATGTATAATATGAAATAATTAGTTTGCTTGACATCGTTATATTTTGTTCATTAATTATTTTTTAATTCGATTGAAAACTAAACAAAAAATGAAAATGGATAATAATTGTACTATTAATTATTATTAATTATTACAATTATTTTAATATGATATCATCCTAACTGTACTTCGAACGCTGTACGTAGTGCATTGCCATATAGTTAATAAAATATCGATTGTCGGTGTATGATACACGCGTTATAGACAACTTTTGACGTAATCTTAATACTTGTACATTTTAAACCCAAAATGGTAAAACTTAAAAGTTATGATAATATGTTAACATCGACCCGCAGGTCGAACAAACTTTGATAGTGAACTAGAAGCCGCGTCTACATATTAATATAGAATATTATATGTGCATAAACAACAAAGACGTGTAAGTAGATACAAAGTATGTAAGAATCGAAGTTCGGATGTTAATTTCGAAAAGTTTATAATGTTAAAATGTACACGACAGGTTATCAAAATGTGTATTGTTTTTTTTGACATCTCAAAAATAAATGATGCATCATACCAACACAGACCACCTTTCTAGAGTTCTAGACGGCAGGCGTACCTATGCATTACAGTTTACCACGCATGTTTATCAAACAATCATTAACCGAGGTTACTTACCGGTAAAGTATATATTGTATTGTCGGGTTTCGAGGTTGATTTGATTTCAATTCATCACTGGCAGAAGGCAGTACTGTTTGAAAATACTATCATCAAACGATAATATTGAAGAAAAATATAAGTGGCTGTTAATTGCACGTGTTGCTTATATCTATTTCACGGACAAAACGTAGCATTGTTATTAAACGCACCTATGTCAACGTATTGGTATGATATAGTGACACAAGCCAATTGAAAACTATTCCTACAAAAGCCACTGGCTACTGCATGTGAAACCAAAAGCGACCGTCTGACACGCAATTATGAGAAATGCATATTACTCAATGGGAGTGGGGGGGGGGGGGGGGCACCGAGAATATAGAGCTTGGATATTATGCGTACAACCGTCATCGAACAACGGACAAACAGTCGACGACTGCACATTTAATTCACTGAGAGATAATAAAATAACATACTAGGTCAACGATCCATAGTGAAGTTGTAGCCCGTGAAGCTGTCGCTATGTGATATCACATTAATTTAGAGCATCAATACCAAGTAAAATACCGGCTAAAACTGACTGCAGTCATAACCCAAAATAATGGACTATGGATCTCGGTATGGATTTAAACAGCAAAACCACTGATTTAATTCGAAGAACGAGCAGTGATTTACATAATTATATTAGATAGGTAGATAGGTATAACATAAATGATGTATACTACTAAACAAATTAAAATGAATCATTTCCATAATATTCTAATTCTAATCGAGTCAATTCCAGCAGATGGAAAATTATTATACACATTTTTTCAATGCACTGTTTTTGGTGATTTATTTGTACACGCGTGTTACACGACTAGAGATAAAATTAGATAAAATACTCTGATGACTTAGTTCTCTAAATGGATAAGTCACCAACACATATTATTTTCTGTACTAAAATTATTTTATGGTTACTATGCTTTGCATGTGCACGATGCGTCTAAGATTATAAACATGTTTTCCTAAAAGTGAAAGCACCACTGTCGTGTTAGTTTTAAAACTTTACACAATAAAGTATTCAATAACACCATGAGTTATATCGTATATGCATATAATATAGAAACGCAACGTGTACAAAGCTGCGGTTATACCGAAAAAGCTTTTATTTAGAGATTTTAGTTGATATGAGACAAATGAATTTTGATTTCGGCAAACTTTTGTTTGACATATTTATGTTATCTCGGTTTTGAATTATTTCTCCATGGCATTAACATGTACAGTGATATTGTCATGTTGATTTCCATTGGGAAACAAAGTACACAAACATATCAGAGAGTAAAAAATTGAAATAAATGTGTATAAAACCCCAAGGTACTGTTACGTAAGTATCTGCTGTAAAATGTGTCACGGCGATTGTAAAATACAAATAATAAATCAAACATTCAAATATATGGGTAATGGAGTCGAATTAGTTTTAAAATATACTGGTATCAATACTTTCTCTTAACATTAAAAATAATTAGTTATCGAAAACTTTTAATGAAATGTCAGCAAACGTGGTTTAACCTATCACCACTTCAAATCATTTTTCAGTATTTTGGGTCCCTATATTATGTATTTTAATTTATGTAATATAAATTCCTATGAGTAGTATTAATAAATATTTTGTTGGATATGTTTTTAAACAATAGGAATAAGATTTTCTCTAAACTTAAATAATGGTTTATCGTAATTTTCCATTTATTAGTTTCCATCTTTATATATTGTACAAGTTATTATGTTATGATAATAATATTATATTATTAGAGCTATTATCGGATTATGATAAAGTTTTTTTTTTTTCAGCGTAAGTTGGTCGAGTTGTGAGATTTATTCTAGGAAGTCAGAGGTATAAGTTTACTAAAGGTCCCTTGAGGTATTTTTGCATTGATTTTACGCCTAGTGAGATGAAAGTATTTCGTAGTAAAAAATTAGACTTCAAGTAAAGACTTGAAACAATATACCAAGACCGTTTCACACGGTTGACTGTGCCAAAAATGGTTGAAACATCGTGTGCAGTATCGATAGACTTAAACAACGATTGGGACAATTTTCTCTCAAGCAGGATAGTCATGGCTCCTTTTAGTTGGAAATTTTACATGTATTTGGTGAACTTTCAGACTATTTTAAAGGAATATAAATTGACTCTTGGTATTCATTTTCCTTTCTTTAATAGCTGGGCAAATTTTCTTTTGTGGTACCTACTTTTTTCATGGCTAGTCATAAACTTTAAAATAAAAAGCAAAAGTATGTGAGAAAAAAAGAAAGACGAAAGTTGAACAACCAATTATGAGAAATAATGATTTTCGCATTTTATAAAATTGAACAAATGAAAGAAGGCACTATAAGCATTATATATATATTTTTTGTACTTCGCATACGTTATTGACCGAAAAAACGTAAAAAACAAAAGCACAACGGAGTAAAAGAAGGTCGCGTGTGCGATTTTTTGTTAAATAAATGGTTTGTGATTAAATTTTTGGTCATAAAATATGGCGTACCTATACCATTTTTTTTAACAAAGACCAAGTACCTACAGATGTGGGTGAGAAATTTTTTGTACTTTCACAATAAATAACACAGAATATACAGCTTGGTGTCACGCCTTCAGACCGTAAATTAACAAATACTGATCAAATTGTTTACTGGGTAATTAATATAATATAAAATGAACTTATCCTTTTGTTGAACGAAAATTATTCATAATTATTGCATAAATTAAATTGAACAACAATTTATTGCTATGACAACCTATGACTTACGACATATTACAAATTATTATTATAATTGTAAGTTTTTGTTTTTATTTATACCGTTAAATTTCGTTATTATGAGTATTAATTATAGGTATGACGTTCATATATACCATTATAATAGTATGATATGTGATATTGTTGTATATAAATTTCTGTTGGTTTACTGTTTTCTACTGTTTCTAATTATAATATAATTATGTCAAGTATTCGAATGCAACTACATTGTTTTTTTTTCCAGACGATAAATTATTATACATATTATTATATAGGTAATATTTTATTAGACATTAAGATACTTTTTATCTTATAGACAATTAATTTTGTACATTTCCTACATTTTTTTTTATAGCCCTGAACCCATAATACAGATCATATTAATTGCACATATTTGTTGATTTTTTCAAAATTAAATTTAATTAATTTTTTTGTTTTGGTTTTATGTAATGTACAACCTGTGACCAAGAGTAAAGAACTGTAGAAAAGTGTTGTTTTAATGTAATATATATTTTTCAAAATTGTTATTTTTCCTAATATGTCAATCTAAATATGATTTAATAGTAAATTAAAAGTGCATTTGATTTCAACATTTTTAGTGAAATTATTTAAATATCTTTTCAGTATTCGATCAATCAATTTTAATTTATTTTAAATGTCTATGTAATAAATAATAAGTCATATATTTTATAAATAAATGAAATTCTAGTTGCATATTCATTAGTATGATAATTTATTGATGCGCATATTTTAGACATTTTACTGTGCTTGAATATGCGCATATTTATAAACATTTTTTTTTTCATTCATATACGTGTACTATTAATAACACATTGGTTTAGATATAATAACCAACCTTATTATGTATTCAAAACTATTCAATACTATACACTAATATGCGTTGTAGGCGTAGCTATTCCTTTTGGTTACCTATTCGGTTGACTAGAAATTATAATTTTTATACACGGGTTTTGTTTATCCGTTATGGCCGTAGTTTAATAACACACGAAATCGTAAAACAAAGGCAACCATGTGTGACGAGTTGTGATAAAACTTTTAAGGTGCAGCATAATATAATAGGCATAAAAATGGTTTCAAAACGGTCCTGATCGGAATAACGAACGCGTTTACGATATATCTATTATGATATCACGCATTTAGTTGGTAGATTTTCGTTGGGTACAAATGTTTACAACGTGTATACATACGAAATTATTCGTCCACGCGAAACATCTAAAACCACATTTATTGAAATAATATCAACGTTTCAACTCACCGAACACTCGGATTCGCCGATATAGCAGAAGTCCACGTTGTGAGACGTTATGGACCACAGGTGATCGTCGTTGGCGGCTTCCTCCGTCCAATCGGGCACAATCTTTAAGAGTTTATCGTTTCCATCGGTTCCGGTGGCTCTGTAACATAGTAAAATGGTTGACGATAAAAATCGGCTCATTATCGACTATAATGTATAGTGATAATATTGCACAAAAATAATTTCCCGATTACATATTATTTTGACACCTAGTGCGTTTTATTTTGTACCATTTGATAACTGTCATAGACAGTAAACACCAGCCAATGGTTTAATCGCGAGGTGGGCCACCGAGATTTCAATTTTTTTTCTCATATATACACGATATAGATCGCACTTTAAAATAATCGTATCTATGTAGTGCCTACTGCTCATACTGCACGGGCTCTTAATTGATGGAGAGCCATCTCTTCCGCCAGTATAGGTACAGGTAGTTGTAAAGCGACCAATCGATTTTGCTATGGCTACCAATGTTTACTTTTGGTCATCCCGGTTACACTTAAATGTAAAGAGTAATTGATGAATACATTTACATTTGACTCCTGTATTCAATGCTAAAAACCCAATCTTGTCAAGTACATTATACAATTATACATTGTACTCTACATTTGATCTAATCTTGTAGTAATATAAAATTACACTGTAGTTACTTCAATATCGTTTTATTCAAATACAAATAATATTCATTATTCGAGATATAATTTACAATGTCAAATTAACAATCGTTGATTTATAATTAGTGTAAACGATTATGTCAAATCACGTGGTTTGATTTGAAAATATGTTAGCTTCTTATGGAAACATAATACAATTGTACATTATTATTAATAACATAGGCGTCAATACCGATTTTAGAACAATTTATGGAATTATTATTTATAATTTTTATTATTTTTTAGTATGAACCCAGTAGCTCAATATCGAATTACCTAAACTTAAAACTTTAAATTGGCTCAATAATATATGCCGTATGTACTAATATTAATTAAAATAATATTATTTGATTTGTTAATTGGCATACGTATAGTTCATTTTATCAACCTGCTCCCTGCGCGAGGGCGACCGATTTCATCTCTTCTAAAATTGTGATATTTTAATGTCTGCATAATTTGTTAAAGCTTGGTCGCCAATCTAAATAATTGTATACCTCCTCGGAAACAATGTATTGTTATAACGTCACCCACACTCCTCGGGTGCTGTGGTATTGTACTTATATGGAGGTAGCCACAATGTCCGGGAGATTAATTAGATATGTTTTACAAATAGAGAAATTCGCAGTTGTAGACCGCCATATTTTTCGTTAAAACACACGTTATAATAATAATATAATACAATATAATATAACGCTATCAGTGGATAGTTGTATAATGTGGACACGGCACACGTTTTAGGTACCTACATAGGGTATGCGAGTATCCCAATTAATTTATCTAAATGTCGTCCATAGAACAAGCTATTTCTTCTGTCACAAAGGATGAATGCAATTTATCCATGCTTTAAATATTATAATACGCAGACGAACTTTTTGCAGTATTGTTGTGTGGAAGTCGCAGGCACACCAACATAATATATTAGGCATTTTTTTATTAAAATAATATGAAGACGTATAGCGCAATCCATGTTATTATATAATCGAGCGGTGTCGTGATAATTAAACTCGACAAAAATGGAATCAAAAACATCCGGATTAGTAAACACCATAACTTTTTTAGGTCTCAATGTGTATGCGAGACAAAGTAGGTAATGGTAATTAAAATGTACAGTTATTAATTTGTAAAACGTTGGAAGTCCATTACATGGATGATATAATGTTATAATTTATTCTTAACGGGAAAGTTATTTTGAACTCCAGACTGAATGACGTCATAGTACTTCAATTGGCTCTCCGAACAAAATAAAAGAGTCTTTGTATTTACAGATTCAGTTTGCCAAATTTTCCAAACTTTTCATAGTTTAAATGTTTGTATGTATATTGATAAATAATGTTCCATAAAGGAATTTGAAATTCATGTAATATGTTATAATTTAACTAAAACAATGCATAAGACCGCTTTAGGTTAGACGTTTATCGAAAATGCCGATGAGTGCCACATGATGTCATATGAATATTTTAAGAGTTTTTATTCGTCCAATTTACAAAATACCAATCATTTGGAGTGTGAATAGCCCTATAGGTTTAATCGGAGGGCGCATTCATGAGAAACAAAATGTCGAAAGCGTTCGAGTATAGACGGGAGAAAATTATAGGCTGTAGTCTTCAGGGATTCAAAAAAAAAAGAAAATTGAAATTGGAACCGGATTTTATATCGTTAAAAATCGTTCGTTATGTAATATTACCAACTGAACCGTCCGCAATCATGTTAACGACAGATCGACACGCTTAATCTAGATAGTTATGTCATCGCAGTGAATAGAAAATTGTTTGTTGACTAAGTAGTGTACCTACACCAACGTCCACCGTGGTTATAGGTTAGATTTTACCACCTGGTTAGACTCACATTGCGATTCATGATTAAATAACGAAAAACCACCATTTACAGTATTAACACAGATTATTATACCAAGATAAAAATAATATTTCGAATATGCTAACTAAGGTTGTCTAAATGAAAAACTGTTAGACGTTCGCTTAAATGAAATACTGTTTATTCTGTGTATAATCTTTTTGTTATTTATTTGATGTATACTATTGCTATAAAAAAGGTAGTTTATAATAGCTTACTGCGTCAAAATAAAAAAGAGATTTTACATTTCGTTAATAATAGTTAGAGGTACATATTTTTTAAACATAATCCGTTGGCGAAACATACATTCACCCCGGTCATTTTATATGAAAATTATTACTTCAGTTTTAGAGGTAAATGCAAACTAGACAAGTGTGTATTGAAAAGAATATATTAGGGGTGCACAACTTAAACCTATACTGGTTAAATTTGCCCTTCAAATCTAATTCTATTTAACGCAATAATTGTGTCTTAGTTTAAAATATACTATACGTAAGTATTTAAATTAACCCAATACACTATGAAGTAATTGTATACATTCATGGGGTAAACGTAAATTTGAAAATGTACCTTATCATTCTTGTATGAGTAATGAACATATTTTACTTTTGATTAAAACATATTAAGCCATAGGTGTAGATTTATAAAATTTTAACGAAGAAACAAGTTTCATACATTTCCATAATTATCACAAGTTCCGTTTTCAATTATTTAGCTTGACCATAGCACTATGTAAAGTAAATGTATTATGCATTCAGGCTTCATACAGAGTACTACGGATTAGTAGAATAGTTTTAGCAGAAATAAGTGTAATATGTGTAATTATCACAGGTCTTAGTAGGCTTTCAATGATTTCAATCGATAAAGAATGTAGCTTTGCTCTTGAATCTCGATGAAGTTGAATTTTATTTTGGATCCTCGGAAATACGAAAAGTACATTTCTAAAATTATTTTTGCTACCAATTATACTCGGGCTATAATTTTTTATAGCTATTTATATAGTATTTATACATAGCTTTTTGTTTTATTGAACAAAACGCTTCAACGGCAATGGTTATTAGCTTACAGTTATTTAATTACATTTTTTTTTTGGTACTTTACTAAATTAAGTTTTATAACTCTGACATTCAAAAAAAAAAAAAAATTAGCTATTATTGTTTTTAATAATATTACTTAATACATTTTTTTTCTTAATATAGATGTACTAAAATTGTTTTTAACTTTAGGTTTTTACTAGAACCGCCTACTTCTATATAAAAGGCTTCTCAAAAAAAAATGTTTACTCATATCGAGATTCCCTCTAACTCTTAAATATCAGAACCATACAACCCATATAATATAATATTGTCTTCGTATGATTGCTAAACTTTTTTGATCGTCCACTAACAACTTATTACACGAAGACCTAAAATTTAAAACCTTAAAATATAGTACAACTTCTTTGAATTTTACTCTAGACGACATCCTAAAATGCAACAGCATCCCAATAGTCTCATCGCCAAACTTCATACCAAAACTTTTCTGAGCAATACTCAACTCGGTGCCTAAAACCAGGTACAGCTGGAGACCTACTCGGCGATAAACAAACTATTTAATCTGTTCAAAATATATAATTCATAGTATCTCATGTGTATGTGGCCTTACTGGCTGCTGTGGACTCCATTGTCATCACTTATCATATTATTGACATATGTTTATATTAATGGTATAACATTTACCAGTTTTACATAATATGGTTTAGATTGTAAGGACAATATTAAACGAATAAAAAAAAACTTCTACTGGTGATGTATGCAAGTGGATAAATTCAGTATGGATTTAATCAATATTAATCTATTGTATATAAATATATATAATGCACACCGAATTTGGAATTTCACTTATTTAAAAAAATGTTTGACGCAGAAAATATTGTGTTTTTTTTGCAAAATTTAATTTTTCCAATGTGTGTCTGAACACTTGAACCGAGTTTTTAGAGTATCAGCCTACGGTTATGTATTGAATGTGAAGTATATTTTAGTAGCATACTTTTTAAAGAGTTAATAGTTAAAAATTAAACACAATATGTCATCAATATTACGATCACTCAAAATATGAGTACTTGATACAAATATAATGATGTATACAGCATGCGTAGGTACTAGATACTTACTACTTATAATAATAATTGTTAGTAGAACATACCACGGACATATACTCGATATGCACCTACGCAGTGTAACCCTTGACTAAATACTACAAAGTTAAGTATATAATATCGATAACTTTGAACAAAACAAACCGTTTCGTGCTGCTATTAAAACTAAGAATAGCTGATCATGATAATTATTCCAAGAATCCCTCGAATATAGCATCAGACGGTGTATAAAGTTCAAGTGTTTCGTACGTAGTATTATATTGACATTCATAAATTACTGTAGTCGATACTGAAGTAACCTCTGAATTATGAAGTCGATCTAACTGAAAACTATCATCGCACATAACAGTTTCGAATTTATAATAATTTTTTTTTTAAAACACTTTATTATTATAATATAACTAACTATACCGACTATTTTTTTTTTTTTTTTTATTTATCGTTACTAACAGTTTCGAG